CTTTCTTCCAGGCAGCTCCAGCCACACTTCCCCCAGCCTGTAAAAATCTGTTCCCCTCCAGCTTGAAGCCATTTCCCCTCATCCTGTCACTGCAGGCCTTTCTAAACAGGTTCTACCCTGTTTAGAAAGAAAGAAAACCTCATTTCTAAATGAGCGAGGGGCTAAATGAGCTTTAGGCATCAACCTTCAACTCTTTAAATGTCTTGGTCTTGCTTTTTGCTCAGGTACCCCTCTAACATGGTGTATCAGAACGGCAGCATCGGTTCAAACGACAGCATGGACGTGAACTGCTACCCGCCACCGCCGCAGACTGACTCTATTGTGCCACCACCTCCTTCGTTCCCAGATGACAGCCTGCCTCCGCCCCCGGTGGAATTTAGGTAAGCCTACGGGATCCCTTCTGTCACCCAGGAGTAGGAGGTGGTGTAAAAGGATGACATGAGACAGGCTGAGATAGTTCAGCAATAACTTCCTAACGGGTGTCGTATGGGAACCAGAACGCTCCTGTCTGGAGGGGAAGCGCCACCGCAGGCAGGGACAGAGGCACAGCTCCCCACAAACCCCAGCCACCAGCATTCCCATACGGGAAGCGCCACCGCAGGCAGGGACAGAGGCACAGCTCCCCACAAACCCCAGCCACCCATACGGAACAGAATCACAGAATCACAGAATCTTCTAGGTTGGAAGGGACCTTAAAGATCATCTTGTCCAACCATCAACCTAACTGACAAAAATAGACACCCACACAACAAACCAAAAGCAACACCATCACTAAACCATATCTCCCAGCACTACATCAACCCCTCTTTTGAACACCTCCAGGGATGGTGCCTCCACCACCTCCCTGGGCAGCCCAGTCCAATGGCTGAGAACCCTTTCAGTGAAAAAATTTTTCCTAATATCCAGCCTGAACCTCCCCTGGTGCAACTTGAGGCCATTTCCTCTTGTCCTGTCGCCTGTGACTTGAGAGAAGAGACCGACCCCCACCTCTCTACACCCTCCTTTCAGGGAGTTGGAGAGAGCAATAAGGTCTCCCCTCAGCCTCCTCTTCTCCAGGCTGAATAACCCCAGTTCCCTCAGCCTCTCCTCATAAGACTTATTCTCCAGACCCCTCACCAGCTTTGTTGCCCTTCTCTGGACCCGCTCCAGCACCTCAATGTCTTTTTTATGGTAGGGGGCCCAAAACTGGACACAGTACTCAAGGTGAGGCCTCACCAGTGCCCAGTACAGGGGGACAATCACCTCTCGGGCCCTACTCCCCACACTGTTCCTGATACAGGCCAGGATGCTGTTGGTTTTCTTGGCCACCTGGGCACACTGCTGGCTCATGTTCAGCAGAATGAGCTTGGGTGACAGCTAGAGCAGGCTCATTTCACTTTTTCTAGAAGACTGGGGTCCTAATTAATGCTCTGGCTCCATTCCTTGAGTTCTCCAATGCAGTCGTTGCAGAGTGTGTAGACTCGCCTTCCTGACGGCAGTGGTTCTTCACGCTGCTCCTGGTTTTTGGTACCATTTGCCCCGTGATCTTTGACAAATGCACGACGTGGGCGCTTGAAGATGCAGATGTAGTTAAATTTAAAGGACTTGAGCACACACCAGCTGACTCCTTCCCAGAGACTTCAGTGCGAGTTCAGGGCAGCTGCTTTGTATCGGATGAAATGGTGACTTCCAGTCACCTCTAGAGATGAGAATTACGGTCCAGCAGTGGCTCAAGACATAAAAGGTAAAACAAGAGAGTAGCCTTTTTTTTTTTTTCTTTTAAAGGCAGTAAAACAGAGTCAAGAGTAAGAGGAGGAAGTCTGTCTGATAGACAGGACTGCGTTAACTTGTCTCCATCTTATCCAAAGGCGGCGATGCTGCAGAAAAGGCTCTTGTGATGTGTCAGGGAGACCGAGCACTCCCCTCTGCAGTGCCTTCCTCTAGGGCAGAGCAGAAACCAGCTTTCAGATGAAGCTTACGCCGCCTTATGTGGTTGCTTAGATCTCCTCCTAGCCACAGAGATCTCCCCTCTCTGGTTTTTGTTTTGGTGGTTGTTTTTCAAGAACCCTGGGAGCTGGGTTTGATCTCCAGTAGTCTGTCTTGGATCAGCACTGCGCGCTGTTAAAAACTGTGATGGTTTTGTAGCAAACGTCACTTAATTTTCTGCCTTAACGTGGAAGGAGGTGTCGGTTTAGGGCTTCCTTTACATGTAGGAATAACATATTTTACATATTAGGAAAAAAATTTTTCACTGAAAGGGTTATCAGGCATTGGAATGGGCTGCCCAGGGAGGTGGTGGAGGCACCATCCCTGGAGGTGTTCAAAAGAGGGGTTGATGTGGTGCTGGGAGGTCTGGTTTAGTGATGATGCTCCTTGTTTGTTGTGTGGGTGTCTATTTTTGTCAAAATTGGGTTGACGGTTGGCCAAGATGATCTTTAAGGTCCCTTCCAACCTAGAAGATTCTGTAGGTAAAATATTACAGTATTTTATGGGCAGTAGCATCTTGTGGTAGATTCAGTCCCTCCTGAAATGGTGCTTGCCTGAAGAGTACACGGTGTTTCCCTGTCTTCCTCTTCACTCCCCACGGCGAGCTCTGAGACGTGGCTGCTGCAGCTCTGAGCCGTGGAATCCGGTGGGGAGATCTGTTCCCAGCAGGTGCTGAGAGCATATGCTTTCCTGGCACACCCACCAGTCCCTGTGTGATTTATCACTGGGAGACATCCCTGCTTGGCGTGTCACGAGCCTGACCTCAGCGTGGAGGGGTAACGGCTCGCGGTGCTGGAGGAGATCTTCAAGCCAGGAGGCTGCTCTGAGCTCAGAGTGACGCCCCGTCTCTGGCCCAGGGGTGAGATGGCTCATGTTCTTGTCAGCCTGGGGAGATGGGATGGGTGATAGCATTTCTGCCAGTCCCCAGAAGCTTTCCTTTGTTCTGGTGGTGTTAGGCCAAAAGAAACACCGCGAGGGAACTCAAACCAAGGAGTGAGGTCTCATGGAAACACCAGTTAAAGCAGGAACTTAGATTTTTCTTGTCAGGACTGCACCAAACACACATGATTTGTGTTAAGATGGAGACTGTATCGTCTAATCTGGCCTCACAGCTAATGGCTTTATTTCCCTCTCTTCTTTCTGGTGCAACAGCTATCCTGTAGACAACCAAAGAGGTTCTGGTTCTGGAGGGACCAAACGATCCAGCCTGGTCAGCCCGAGTCACCCACCACCAGCTCCTCCCATCGGATCCCCCTCCGCAGCCAGGCCGGGCTTTGCTCCCCCTCCAGCACCACCTCCGCCACCACCCCTGATGGGAAACACCCCCCCTCCACCTCCTCCCATGGGCTTCCCATCCCCGGGAACCCCCCCACCACCCTCACCCCACCACCGCCCCCCCCTCCGGCAGTGGAATATGCCAGCGTGCTGCCGCCTCCGCTGCCGCAGCCGGGCGGTGGGACCGCGCCGCCTCCCCCTCCACCACCACCACCTCCTGGCCCACCCCCTCTGTCCTCCAGCGGCCTGGATGGTCCTCCACCTCCTCCTCCACCCTCAGACACCTCCTCCTCCAAGGCCAAGTCATCCTTGCCTGCGGTTAGCGATGCCAGGAGCGATCTGCTTTCAGCTATTCGTCAAGGTAAGGTTTTTCTTTCGATGCCAACTTTCTCCTTTTTTTTTCCTCGGGGAAAAACCCCACGGTGTCCAAGTGGGAGCTCTTGGGAGCCGTCTCGTGAGCAGTGGTGTGGCTCTCACTGCTTGAGACCTGTCCCTTGTGTCCTTGTCTGCCCACCCTGATGACAACCTCACTAGGAATTATGCCTCCATTTGTGCCTTTGGAGTTGGCAGTGCTGGAATTGGTGTGGTCCAAATTTGTGAGTGGATTAACGGGTCCAGTAGAGCCCACCGAGATGCTGGGAGGGCTGGAGCCCCTCTGCTGGGAGGGGGGGCTGAGAGAGTTGGGGGGGTTCAGCCTGGAGAAGAGAAGGCTCCAGGGAGACCTTTGAGCCCCTTCCAGTCCCTCAAGGGGCTCCAGGAGAGATGGGGAGGGACTCTGGATCAGGGAGGGGAGCCCTAGGAGGAGGGGGAAGGGTTTGACCCTGCAAGAGGGGAGATGGAGCTGAGATGTGGGGAAGAAGTTCTTTGGTGTGAGGGTGGTGAGAGCCTGGCCCAGGTTGCCCCGAGAAGCTGTGGCTGCCCCATCCCTGGAGGGGTTCAAGGGCAGGAGCAACCTGGTGTGGTGGGAGGTGTCCCTGCCCAGGGCAGGGGGTAGCACTGGGTGGGCTTTAAGGTCCTTTCCAATGCAAACCATCCTACAATTCTATGACCAGCAGTGGTTTAACCCCTCGGAGGAGCAGGGAAATGATCCATTTCCCATCCCTGCTGCCCACCCAGCCTGTCTTGGCTGTCATTCCCCATCCCTGTTCTCCCACAGCGTGTCCAGTTCTCGGTGGCAGAGGACAGGCTGCCGTGCTCAGAGGATTGTGTCAGAAAGGATGGCTGCTTTGGGGGATTTCACTGCGACCAAAAGCTTTTCCCTGATCCCCTCCATTGCCTTCTTCCCAACAGGCTTCCAGCTCCGCAAGGTGGAGGAGCAGAGGGAGCAGGAGAAGCGGGACGTTGTGGGCAACGATGTGGCCACCATCCTGTCGCGCCGCATCGCCGTGGAGTACAGCGACTCCGAGGACGACTCTTCCGAGTTCGATGAGGACGAATGGTCGGATTAACCACCGTCCTGGTCCCCTCCTCCTTCCCCTTCTCTCCCTAGGTTAACATCCTCTTCAAGAAATCAGGTGGCCAAATCTTCCACCACTTCCTTTTTTGATCCCGTAACCAAAGATGTGCCAAGGGTTTTTTAGACAACCAGCAGCATGTCTCCCCCCTCTCCCTCCCTCTCCGGCTTTGGCAGGGCTTCGTGCTCTGCCTTTCCAAAAAGGTCTCCTCACGGACACTGAGGCTGTGGTGTCGGGATTTAGCTGGAGGGGGTGGAACGGTTGCTTATTTAAAAGAGAGCTAAACCTCCAGATTCCGGATGCCACCAGGCAGAGCACATCTAAACCCTCCATCCTGAGGGATTTTTTAAAGTAAAGATGGATGATCCTGTTGCGGCCGCCTGGCCTTTTAGATGAAGGACATTTTCAGCTAGTTTTCTCCTTGCAACAGCAGACAGTTGATCTGATGGCTCTTCCTTTCCAGTGAATGCTGGCAGTGCTGCAAGAAAACGGGCTTTAAATGTCTGTTCTCTGCTGCATCCCACTGTCAAATCATCAGTTTTTTTGGGCAAGAGTGCACAATTCTTTCCCCTCTGACCCCCCCCTAGTATTATTTTCGGACAACCCTGTGCGGGGTGCGCTTCCTGGCTCTAGGGCTGTGGATTGGTGCAATGTGAGGAGTGGCTTTTTTAATTATTATTATTATTATTATTGTTTGAAAAAGCTGCCTTTACCTTCCTCAAATCTCCTGGACTGCTTCACCCTGTGGGCTGAAGGAGACTTGCCCAAAGGGGCAGGATGGTTCCTGGGCTTCCCAGAAACTGCCCCGTCGAGACACATCCATGTGGGCGAAACCCCGCTTTGCTGATTTCCCCAATTCATGCTGAGAGTGTGCTTTAAAAAAAAAACAACACAAACAACAACAAAAAAAACAGCCAAAAAGTAAAAAAAAGAAGTGCCTAGAGCAGGGAGATGGTGTGGGGAAGGGTTCTCTGAACACCAGGTGCTTTGGTGGGCTTTGGCCTGGCCGGGGCGATGCTGCAGTCGGTTTGAAGAGGTGCTTTATTTCTAGTGGGGTGCCAGGTGACCATATATTTTTAAAACAGGGACTTGAGTAGCAGAAAATGCTGGTATTACCTTTGCTTCCTCCTCCCTTCCACCAGAGGAGAGGGGAGCTTTGTGTGCCTAAAAACATCTAGCGTGTGAAGGGAGTTGCCCGTGGGTTGCATCAGACCTAACCTACGTTGTTTTCCCATAATTTTTATGATTATAATTCCTTAGTTAATTTTAAGAAAACGTTTTTTTCTTCTCCTCACTAACCCTAGGAATTCCCAGGCTGCTCACTACAGATACGGGGGGCAGGGGGAAGAAAATGGAGAACTTGAACTAGCTGACCTAGGTTTTATTGCTGTTTTCTATTACCTTACGTAGAATATAAGCGTATCCTGGAAATCTAGAAGCAAATACTCTCCCCGATGCTACAGAGGTGTATTTGAATTTGGCTGTGACTCTCTCAGGGTCATGCAAGAAAACAATTCCAAAGCCTTTTGGAGATCATGGGTCCAGCTGTTGTGGGGTGGGACCAGTTTCACGTCCCATTAAGACCAACTCACCAACCTCTTTGCCTTTTCCTATCATCAAGTATTTTGCCAGCCTGTGCCTGCCCCTTCTTCCCTCCCTTTGCCTCCTTTAATGATGTCGCTGATACCTGGAACGTTGGGCCCAGCCCCGGGGCTGCTGAAAACCCTTCTTGGGGTTTGATTGATGGCTTGAGTTTGTGCCATTGAGTTCTTCCCCATTTCTTCTCCGTGTGTGTGTGTGTGCGGGCGCATTTTTAATCTGTGACAGAGCAGAGAAGGGCCTGGAGGATGGGGGGGGGGGGTTGGTTGGTTTTATTTCTGGGGTGCAGATCAAGCCATGAGATCCTGTGTGACCCCAAGAGATTTCCTGGGCTGCTGCACCATCAGATTTGTGGCTGCTGCGAGGTTTGGAGATGGTGAGACATCCCGACGGGCTGGGGGGGAACATCTGAGGAGCTCCAATTCCAGGTTCTGGAAGAGGGAACAAACCCCTCTAGTGCCAGGGAGCAGGGGAAGAGGAGGGGAGGGTGGGGGGGACTTGGAAATGCAAAGTGATTATCACTGCGAGCTGGGTAAAGAGGGGGGGGTTAGAGGAGAATCACTGCCTCTTGTTTTTCTGCTCTTTTCTGTGAGCATCCTCCTCTGGCTGCTCTGGGAGACAGGTTCCTGGGGAAAATGGACCTTTGAGCTAACCCGGGCTGACAGCGTTATCACCCAGGGAAGAGAGGAGCTCGCAAATGCCAAACCTGGGTTAATTTTAAATTGCCTTAACTAGACTTGGCCCCTGGTGGGAAAGGGGGGGGGAGGCTGAGCGTTCCTGTCGGGTGAAATTCAGAAAAGTGCCATATTCTCCCTGACCCAGATGTGGACGCTCTGTCAGGTCGGGGCCGTGCCTTGGGGGGGTAAGGGGAGGTGCCTTGGGGGACGGGGTTGTCCCACACCACTGCCTGTTGCACAAGGGATGTTTGTGTGGGCGATGGTGACACGGGGTGGAGTCGGCTCCTCCGGGCTGCTTTTGTCCCTGCAAGCCTTTTGGAACCACCCTCTGCTTTCAAATCCCATCCCTAGGTGAGAATGGAAACTGCTGGATCCTTCACAGAAAGGTTGTGGATAGGGAGGGAAGCTTGGGTTGCGTTGGTTTTTGGGGTTTGTTCATTTCTTCTCTCAAGTCCCAGGCGACAGGACGAGAGGAAACGGCCTCAAGTTACACCAGGGGAGGTTCAGGCTGGATATTAGGAACAATTTTTTCCCTGAAAGGGTTCTCAGCCATTGGACTGGGCTGCCCAGGGAGGTGGTGGAGGCACCATCCCTGGAGGTGTTCAAAAGAGGGGTTGATGTGGTGCTGGGAGGTCTGGTTTAGTGATGATGCTCCTTGTTTGTTGTGTGGGTGTCTATTTTTGTCAGTGAGGTTGACGGTTGGACAAGATGATCTTTAAGGTCCCTTCCAACCTAGAAGATGATTCTGTGATTATTTTTTTTTTCTTCAAAATATCCTTTTCTTGCGAAAAGAAGTGGTAGGAGCTTTGTGTGGAGATCCCCGAGGAAACAACTGGTGTGGAGGGACAGCCTTTGGAGTGGCGTTGCAAAATCGCAGAGCGCCGGGCCACCGAGCGAGCTTCATATTTCTCTAAACCAGTAGGGGAAGAGGAGAGGGTGCCAAAAACAACCTTGGGAAGACAAGAGCAGCCGTGCTGGAGCTGCAGGGCCACCGCCCCGCATGGATGGGGGGGGCATGGCCGGATTCCCCTCCCCATCTTTGTCATTTGTTGTTCACTTAACTCTTTTTTTCCTCCCCATTTTTCCCCCCTCGCCGCGGTTGAAGGGCCCCGGCGGGCGAACCTCAAAGCATTTCACAGAGCCAAAAAGCCAAGAGCTGGCAGTCAGGGTCCTCCCCCCACAGTCTTTCCATTTCAGTCTGACCCGTGGAGCCCCCCAGCCCCCCCTTATCTCCCATCCTGGGACCCTTTTCTTTCCTTCCTTCCTTCCTTCCCCGCACACGGCGAGTTTGGACAAGCCCAACGGCACCTTCCCCTTCCCTGGTTAAACATTCTCCCGGTGTCCTCGCCCGCAGTGCTTGGCTGCTGCTCCCAGCAGCCTTTTGTGTGTGTGTGTGTGTGTGTGTGTCTGTGTGTGTGTCCCCCCCCCTCTCCAAGCTGCCACCCCCCCCCTGGCAGGGAAAAAAAACCTCATCCTGGCTCCCCGGGCTCAGCCTGGAGCCGCCGGCACCGCAGCCGGTGACCTTCACTGCTTTCTCCTCTCCTTATCAGACCCAAAGCACCAGATTGAGGGAAAAGGGGCTTTTTTTTTGGGGGGGGGGGAAGGTCCCAGG